CCCCCCCCCCTTTTTGCACCATTCTCCTGCCAGGGGGCCAAAGGCCACTTGCAAAATTTAAAAACAACTAAACATCAGTTCTGTTTAAAAACACATAGTTGAAAATAATTTAAATAAATTTAAATGATAATTAAAAATGTACAAAATCAAAATAGAGTACCCCACTTTGAAGATTATTCTACCATGCGAACAACCTCAGTCGAAGACCTGCCTAAATAAAAAATGGTTTTAATCTGCCAGAAGGGGCTAGCCAGATCTCCTGTGGGAGAGAGTTCCACAGTCAGGAGAAAACTCTCTCCCCCATATCCTCACAAATTGCACCTGTGAAAGTGCTAAGACAGAAAGAAAAACCTTTCCTCCAAGATCTTCGAACTTGATCTGGCTTGTCTTCCACATCCTGGGTGCAAGATGGCTTTCTCAAGAAAGCTCCCAGTTTTGAATGCTCTGGTTAAGAGCCAGCATGCTGTAGTGGTTTGAGTGTTGGACTATGAATCTGGAGAACAGGGTTGAAATCCCTGCCCAGCCACGGAAGCCCATTGAATGACCACAGGCAAGTCACACTCTCTCAGAGGATGGCCATGGCAAACCCCCTCTGAAGAAACCTGCCAAGAAAACCCCAAGAAAGGGTTGCTTTAGGGTCGCCGTAATCCAGAAATGACTTGATGGCACACAATAGCAAACAACTAAACTCGCCATAATCAAAACTAAATTAGAACAAGAACGTTGTACTCTACACATCGCAAACTGATCAAGTGTGCAACTCGGCTTGCCTTTTTATTCGGAAGCATGCCCCCAGTCCATTCTCTGTGGCTTATTCACAGATACGCATCTGGAACAAATGTACGCTTTTATCATTTTTATAAGCTTTCCTGTAAAAAGAAGGTATTTGGGCAGCACAGAGAATAAAATCAAAGCGTCGAGACACTGGTCCTTTCTTTTAGGAACCTTTCGCCATGGGCATGAAGCCTTTTATTGCTTCCCCCAAAAGACCCACACCAGTAGATCAACTGTTGTGTTATGGAACAGGGCAAACTGAGGGTGGCACAGAGTTTGAAATAAAATGTGGCTCATTGATTTTATCATGAGCTCCGACATTGTTGGTTCTTTTAAAACTGAAAAGGCAACAAAGATAATCAGCAACAAATCACTGCGGCCTGAGGCTACTTTAGCTGGAGATCTCTCCAGATTCGTTGCAGGAACCACAACAGCCACAGAAACTGGTCCTACTGTGCCTGAATATGCAACAATATTGGGTCAATTATTTGTTAACCACTTCCCCTGAAAGATGTCCATGATTTTAAAATGTTCACCCTGAGTTTCAAGTCACACACCTCCTGTCCTCCCTCTCCAATGATGTCACTTGTTTAGCAAAGGTAGAATGGCAGAAAAATAAAATACAAAGCCACATAAATCTGTTCTCAGAAGGAGACAATAAATATCCCGCCGACAATATTCATAACTCAGAACTGAAAAGTTTACACCCAAATAGGTCTATCTGGTTTCAAGGCTGAATCTGCACTGCAAAAATAATGCCGCCTGACGCTGCTTTAACTGCCACGGCTCCACGCTTTCTGGGATTTGTAGTTTATTGTGGCACCAGAGCTCTTGGACAGAGAAGACTGAATATCTCACAAAACTAAAAATCCTAGAATTTCATGGTATTGACCTATGGCAGTTAAAGCAGTGCCAAATAGAATTATTTTTGCAGTGCAAATTCAGCCCAAAGACCTCAATGGATAACTTGATTTGGTATAGTGTGGTATAGTGGTTTGATTTTTGGACTTTGACTCTGGAGACCAGGGTTTTTTGAATCCCCACTCAGCCATGGAAACCCACTGGGACCTCCTGGGCATGTCACACTCTCTCAGCCTCAGGGGAAGGCAATTTATTTATAGCCCGCCCCGATTGCTGTGCAGAGGGGCGGGCTATAAATAAAACTTATTATTATTATTATTATTATTATTATTATTATTATTATTATTATTATTATTATTAATGGCAAACCCCCTCTGAACAAATCCTGCCAATAAAAACCAATGATCATTCAAGTTGGAAACACCAGAGACAACAATGGCTTGCAAGCAACCTGCAAACCTTAGGACCGAAATGCAGTTCCTCTCAATCAGAAGCTATTAAATTTGTGCTTTATGGTAGTCCACTTTAAAGCAGCTTACAATAATATTTTTTAAAAAGATTTAAGATAAAACATTAGTCTACAAAAGTTTAAAAAGAATTAAGCCATAAAAATGGGTGCACCCTTTTGAGAAAGGATTGTATCAAGTTGATTGTGAAAACATATCCAGGGGTAGTTGCACTGGCCATGTAACAAAGTATAACAACATCCAAAATCCATTAAACAGCAATACCTTTATTGGACTTACAAAAATGCACAACATCCATGTTGCACTGGAAAGGTGCAAGTTAAGGAGTCTGAAAAGGGATGGGAGGAGAAGAGGAAGGGAAGATGATGCAAAATTATGTGGCAAGAGAGTAAGTTTATTTGGAAGTGTATGAAACCAATTTGCCCAGCTCTTGCATCATAAAAAATATACAGTAAGTTGGAAAACCAGGCCGAAGCAAACTGGGCATAACAGGAGAAGGTGAGAGGAATTCCCCAGTTTCTTCCTGCTGGGAGTTTCCAGAACCCTTTCCCCATTCTCTTTCCTCCCAAGTCTTAAAAAGCCGGCCTGGCTGGCTCACGTGGGCAACAATTCAGGCCAGATGTAGGAAATGGGGAAGACCAACCTCGATTTGCTCCAACACGCCACTGTCCTGCCCTGTGTTCTAGTTTTCTTTTCCCTACATTCAACTATTAGTCTCCAGTTCTTGTTGCTGTGCTTGAAAGCTCCCAGTCTTGAATGCTCAGGTTAAGAGCCAGTACTTTTTGATTTAAGACAATCCTAAGGTTTTTTGGGGTGCCAGAGTAGCATAGTGGTTTGAGAGTTGGACTCGGGGGAGCAGGGTTCGATTCCCTGCTCGGCCATGAATCCTGCTGGGAGTCACACTCTCTCAGCCTCAGAGGGGGCAAACTTTGCAGGCAAAAACAGTAAGCGATTGTATATGGCTATCCACTAGATTTTTTTAAATTTAAATGAGAAGCAGTGCGGTGTAGAAGTCTGAGCATTGGGATATGACTCTGGAGACCAGGGTTCAATTCCCTGCTTGGCCATGAAACCCACTGGGCAACCTTGGGCAAGTCACTCTCTCCCTCAGCCTCAGAGGATGGCAATGGCAACCCTCCTCTGAAGAAACTTGCCATGAAAACCCTATGAAAGGGTTTCCGTAAGTCACTTGAAGGTACATAACACACACACACAGAAGGTTTTCTGGGGTAAGAGTGTGTGGCTTGCTCAGACTCACCCAGTGGATTTCCAAGACTTAGCAGGGATTCGAACCCTTGTTTCCAGAGTCATAGTTCAATGCTCTAACCACTATACCACACAGCCCCCTTTACACTTGCCAAATGCCATCCAGTCCAAGAGCCAGAGCCGTGGAAAAGCTTGAGTGTTGACCTCAGAAGCCAGGACTTGAACCTCCACTCAGGCACAAAAACTCATTGGGAGCTCTGGAGGAAGTCACACTCTCTCAGCCTCAGAGGAAGGCAATGATAAAGCATCTCTGAACAGATTTTGTCAACAACCCCTCCCACTGAAAGGGTCTCCTTAGGGTTGCCCTAAGTTGGAAACTCCTTGAAGGCACACAACTGCTAAGTTATATATCCACACTGCAAAAATAATAGTTTGACACCACTTTGACTGTCATGGCCCCAGCCTACAGAAGAATCCTAGGATGTGTAGTTTGCCGAGGCATCAACACGCACCAAAGACTGAAAATGCAAAAGACCTTGTAAAACTACCAGTCCCAGGATGGTGCTACAGCTCTTAAAGTGGTGTCAAACTGCATTGTTTCTACAGTGTAGATGCCCCTCACTTGCTCCCATCCCAATGTGCCACCAGCTAAAAGACCCCTGGACTGGGTGACCAGACATCCTCCTTTTCTTGGGCATGTCCTCCATTTTATCCTCCTGTCTAGGAGGAAATGTCAAAATGTCTTCCATCTTGAGTGGGACTAAGAAGCATGACTTTATGATTCTATGGGCCAAAACACACTGTAGAAATAATCCAGTTTGACTCCATTGGCTCAGTGCTAGGGGATCCTGGGGAATTGTAGTTTGCAGTGGCGCCAGAGCTCTCTGCTAGAGAAGGCTAAATGTTTCACAACATTACAGCTCTCAGAATTTCTCTGGGGCAGTTAAAAGTGGTGTGAAACTGGATTATTTCTGCAGTGTGTTTTTAGCTTTTGTTTGGTCATGCCCTCCATTTTTCTCTTGTGTCCTAGGTTTCGTGGTGCCTTGTCCTCCTTTGTAGTGAGGACATCTGGTCACCCTGTCCCTGGAAGGGGACATGCCAGGATATTGTATGCAAGGCTACCTTTCTCTTCAATGCCCCTTTTCCAAATAGAGAGAACTTAGCATACTTGCCCGGGCATGTTCCCTTTGTGGAAGAATGAATGAATAAATGGATGGATGGACGAATGGAAGCTTCTGAAGAAGGGATTTTTCTTGCATCGCTGGCCTTAAATGGGGAGGTGGAGCTGGGACTTACTGGGATTGCATCTACAGTGTAGAAATAAGGCACTTGGACACCACTTTTAACTACAAAAATACCACTTTTAACTACAAAAGAGTATAGAGGATAAGGAGAATATAGAGGGAGTAAGAAAGAAACAGAATGGAAGATTCAATGAAGCTGGAGAGATAATTTGGATATTATTTATGTATTTTATGAATAAGGAATTTATAAGTCATTTTCTTAGATAATGTAAGTAGGCGTTAGCTAACATGATAGATATGTTTGTCATCTGTAGGAATGAATATGTATTGTATTGTATGTTGTATTGATTTATGTGAATGTTTTAAGGTTTTTGTCTTTTTTATATATAATAAAATATTTAATTTAAAAAAAAAAAGAAAACTACAAATCCCAAGATTTCCATGGCATGGAGCTCCAGCATGAAAAGAGGTGTCCAATTGCAAAGCTCCCAAACAAACTTCACCTCTGATGGTCCTCCTGGTCCAGTTCACACAAATATACACACACACAGACACACTTTCCCCCTCTTATTTTTCAAAGGGCTACATCTTTCTTTTCCATCCCCTTTGAAGGCAGATGGGGGGGGGGGAACAAAAGGCAACCCTAGGGCACCCCCTCTGTAGCCCCCAGGACTTCAGACTTGTACAGATGTAACTTTTTCTGGTCCTTAGAGATGCCAGCCAGTTCTCCCCTGGAAATCCCTAAATAGAGAGGAGCCAACCACTT